CCGCCCCCCGTACCTCACCCGCAGCATATTGACTTGCACTCGCCTGCTGGAACAGGGGAGGAGCGCAGACCTTACTCTACTGAGGACTGGGGAGGTGCCTGCCCGCCCCGGATGCGGGACGCAGGCTCAGGCGATTGGCCACATGGATGGCAGTCACGCATCGTGAATTCGCAACCATTATTCCGCGAGTGCCGAACGCTGGAGCCTGGTTTGCGGCGGTGCCTGCCGGCCTGGCCATCACCCTCGAGCCGCAGGCTGGCGCTCTGCAGCCTCCGCCTCCAACTGCCACTGCCTGACCCTGGGTGTGGAGGGCGAGTCGATGGCCCGCAGCGCTGGTGGTTCTGGGCGCTGAGGTGGGTGGCCGCTGGAACGCTGGAGCCCAGCGCCTGCTGCGCGACCTCGTCCGTGTCCGTGCCGTCCGCGCTCTGTGGAGGCATACTAGCAGTGCCAGTGCCGCAGGCGGTCGTGGGCACGGCGCTAGGAGAGCACAGCTGGCGGCCGGCGCCACGAACCGACCGGAGGTGGACCAGCTGCTCCATCTCGCGGGCCCAGCCGCCTCCCCTGCGCCGGTAGATGTAGCAGCACGGACCATGGGAGTCTGCGAGTAAAAAGGTCTGAGGAGGAAAAATTGAAACCAAAATTTCCGCGGACCTTGTGCCAGATTTAGTGTTTTCAACGCCGCAAGTGGAGGATCAACTGCAGCGTTTGGAGCTCCGGATTGGCGGTGCTGAAATTCGCTGAAATTCGCGTTAGCGAGCTCGAGGAATTTTGCCAACAATGGCAATCCGCTCCGCCAGACATCCCTGACAAAATCAAAAGGGGAGGTTGAAATTCAACTCCAGCATCTACAGAACGTTTGAGTGCTTGTCGCGCGGGCCACACAAGACCAAACGCAAGTGGAACGAGCATCTTGCAATTTCTGTTTTGGGCTGCAAAACCTGCTCAAGGATTTTTGGGCATTCCGTATGTCGTGCATGTGATGGATGGCGTTCAATACTCTGTCCGCGTAGGCGGGGAGCTGGCCTGCACGGCCCACGTGATGCAAGGCGGTGCCAGACATGAATGGCACAGGAAATGGGCCATTTGGAACGATTCACGCAACAGCCTGGAGCTCAAAGAGCTCGTGCGTAACCTTGAAAAATCTTGATTTTACTGCTTTGAAAGATGTGGACGTGGCCAACAAGTTTGCAGCTTCAACGGACGTGTACACGTAACACCATGTGGGGTCTGAAGATGATGGTCCTAGAGTTGCGAATGATTTGTGCAATTGCATGACCGCAGCTTGTCATGATGTTGCTCGTACCTGCTTGCCGAGCTTGCAGCGTAAACCTCAACCTCCATGGTTCAGTGATGCAACCTGACAAATCAGCGACGTACACTACACATACGAGAGTTTCGGGCTCGGAGGACGCAAAGATGTGCACAGTACAGTTTGTACGGCGTTTAAAAAATTTGAAGATGTGCTTTGCAGGCTGCATTCTCCAGCTGGGCTTGCGACGGTTCACCCCCCGCTTGATGAATTTACTGACATGCCGTCAAATCTGTTTGCGGGATCGGCAGTTGAACCTGAAAGGCCTGAAGTTCTGGAAGACGAACTGTTCACCTTGCAAGAACTGCAACAAGCCATCCGTGCATTGAAATCGAACAAGGCGGCTAATGATTGTGGTTTGGCAGCAGAATTGTTACACCATGCGCGGCAACCGTTGCTTCAAAATTTGCTGGGTCTGTTCAATCACGTGTTTACAACTGGTGATGTGCCATCCGCATGGCGGAAAACATTTTTTCGCATTTTGGCAAGGTTTCCCAAAGCGAAAATGGCTGGCGATTATCGTGCGATTGCGAGCTTGCGGCTGTTGTATAAAGTGTTTGCATACATCCGCCTTCACCGTATGGAACCCTTGTTGGAGACTGAGCAGCCAGAGGAACGGCTTGGTTTTAAGGCCTCACTGTCGGATTTAAGAGCATTTACTGACCCCGAATGTTTTGGTCGACAAGACTCGTGCAAACAACATGCGGTTTTGGATATTGAGCCTTGATTTGTCCTGAGCATTTGATCGGATTGAGTGGAGAGCACTTTGGCAAGCTCTTCGTGCCCAGGGTGCATCCCAGCAAATTATTTGGATTTTGTAATGCCTTTACTCTGGACATTCAGGCAAAGGTCCACAAAGGATTGGAAGGCACGCTAGTTTTAAACGTGTCTGAGACAAAGCTGTTGACGACGGAGGCTCGGCCGCCCGATTGCATATGGTTGGATATGGACACAAAGATTGAAGTGGTCCATACTCACAAATGGGTGGGTTTTTTCTCTCCGTGTCGGGAGATCAGAATGCAGACGCGGATTTGCACTCGTCTCAGCAGCCCCAACATGCTTGTTGGCCCGCTGCCTCTGCCAGCCGTTGCCTTGGGCAGCACAGAACTGCCAGTGCCGCAGACCCGAAAAAGCTGGCCACCAATGCCACGATCCGAAACATCCAGCTCCGCAACTCGGACGGCCGGCGCGCAGAAGTCCTCGCCCATGGTGGGGGTCGACACCACTGATAGTCCAAAGGGACAATGATGCCTCACCCTACCACCAAACAGTCCATCCACTAACGCAGGAATTGGCAGATGCGTGCCGGTGCACGTTGGCGATTTGGGCATGGAGATTGGAAGTCTTTGGGGCCAATGTCGCAATCCGAAACAAAAAAACAGTAGCTAGCAAAGTTTAGGCAAACACTGCCGGGAATTACCAAGGCTATTTCCCGGTCAAAGCCAAACGCAATTGTACAGCCTGGTGGACTCTTTTTGCTACATACCTCAGGAGAAAACCCATGTTACCTAACAAATCCCCATCTGGCAGAACAGAACAGGGAGCTAGTCCCGTGGGAGGCACGCGACACGGTGTCCGATGCACATTGCACTTGTGGCGTGGCCAGAGACAACAGCAGCCACGCGACATGAGCATCCTCCAGACCAGGGAACAACCAGAAGCGCTTGGCGCCTGGGCACCAGGCAGCATTGCCTCTTAAAAAACGGCGTGAGCCAACGGATATGCCGAGCACGGGGAGCCCGCATTCTAAATGGATTGAGACTCGAGGCGAGCTGAGCAAGACGAGAGAGGACAATGCCAGCACAATTCGAGCAGGCAGTTTTGATGACGTCCAGCCGCAGCAAGATGGCCACAAACGCGAGGCACCGGCAAGTGCAGCAGCATGGCGTTGGCTTCGGCGTTCGCCAGTCCACTGGCACAAGCTTCAGATTCCGGGCCGTCCGCAATGCTTCATCGGAGACAGCGCGCAAGGTCGCTCAGCCTGTGTGGAGGGGGCATGCTGGTGAGGCACGCGTGCCTGTTCAAAGTGCGTGGCAAACTGTTACTCCAAGTCCCCAATGACGAGCCTGTGGGTGGTTTCAACGCCAGGGACTGGCTGCTACCGCAACCTCATGGCGCATAGCGTCGCATGGCTGAGCAAGAGTGCCCACTCTCTCTGGAAGGACCTTTGGGAACGCGTGCGATCAAGAGCAGCCATTTCCAAACCCACTCACATGAGGGCCTTGCCAGTGCTGGGGTCATGGATGAGCTCAAAAGGCAAACGACAGACACTTACGGAGAGGTGCTGCGTAAAAAGGCCGGGGCGAGGAGGCCTTCGAAAAGACCATTTCAGACTTGGGAGTTATATATGTACATATATACATATATATGAACAAATCTTATTTTTGAAGGTTCATATGCTATCTGCTCCAGGATGGCCACATACATGCTCGAGTCTAACAGATGTTTCACAAAGAACCTGTTTGATGAAACGCCAACTCTTTTTAGTTCGGCACCTGGGCCTCGCGCTTCGCTACATAGGTCGCAAGAACTGACATTTAGCTTCGAGGGAAAGAGTGTACAAGCGTTGAGACTGGGACCTCGCAGGGTTGCCGCAGGCATCCAAGCTTTCCAACACACGTCGCTCAGAGCCAAAAATTAGCCATCTGCGATATAACGCTACCATCTCAGAGCCTCGGGCTGAGAGCCACCAACAAACCCAGACATGAAACGCCTTATTCGTAATTGCCTTCAACAAGTCAGTTAAGTGTTTATGTAGAATGCCAAATAAGGTTCGTAAGGGATTTGCACAAAGGTGGTTCTGCATCTGGAGACGAAGGTCTGAACTCTAAACCTGGCTAACCACTGCGATCCATCGTCTGGTCCTTCACCGGCCTGCGCTCGTCAACTCTCTCTGACAGTAGTGACCAATGGTTTCGGGCCGAACGTGTTGGGTATCGGGGTCGAGGGTCTCAGTTTCAGGTTTAAACTCCACAGCATGTTTTCTCACAACTGAAGCACTCTTCCCAAAGATTCTGTGAAGCTCTTTCAGATACGCAGGATCGCCCTATTGAAAGTGACAAATTGGGAAGACTAGGGGAAATTTCGCGTGCTTACTACTGTTGCACTGACTTTAGTGAAGCGACCTTGAAGACATGTGTTTTGGCAGCCGCTTATTCAATTCCAGGCCTTTGTGGGGAAGACCTGGAATAATAGATTAATATATTGTGGTTCTGGGCCCTAAAAATCCAGGACCGAGTCCAGACCATCCCTCTCAGTACCGTTGGGGCCTTGTTGAGGACGTCAAATTCCTATTTTTCCGGGCACCCAATTGTTTGGGGGGAGGGGCGGCATATAGAGTTTGAAGAAGGTGCAACATAATCCCTTCATGTTCTTCTAGCTATTATGGTCTACAGACTTTGTTTCACCCATCCCTACTAAGCACCAATCAAAGGCAACGAATTCATGACAGCAGAATGGATCTACTGAAGCTGCTCCCGAAACTCGAGTCTGCCTCTCACTTATTGCAGGTAAGGACTGAACCTCAGTACTTTGCCTTGCACAAAGCTCCGAGCTTCATCTTGGCGATAGATTTTGTGTTTGGCTTACGCGTTTCTAGGCCCGGCGGGCTCTTTGTCTTGCATTCTTTCTCCTGCCAGACAACTGGTCCGGCGAAACTGTACAGTGTCTTGTCGGAAAGTTACATGTCAGCCTACATGCTGCATGCCTTGAAACGATTTCCAGGGGGGTTGGCAAGCTCAGCCAAGGCCATCGCAGGTTGACTATAGCAGGAGGTGTCCATGTGAGGATCCAGATCCAGATGCGGACTGTCCACACGAACTTGAACTTGTTGCAGCTCAGGGAGGCTCAGCAAGAAGCGATCGTTGCTCAGGACTTTTGAAACGCGGGGGGAAGCGCCGAAAGCGCTGCAGATGCTGGCGGTCTCCGGTCCTGTACTGCGTCCTGAGACTCTGCTACGTCCGGAGACTCTGATTGGGCCAGACGCACCCGAACCTTTTGAAATCGCAGTAAGCCTGGGTGACGCCTCCGAAGAGGCTCCGCAAGTCACACACACCCCTTCTTCGCAGGCGGCATCGGCTGCATTCTCACTGTTTGCACCCTGACTCACCACGAAGCTGGAAGTGGCTAGCACCACCAGCACCAGGCTCGCTGCCTGCGCAGCATCTGGCGTTGCAGGGTTCAGCCACAATGTGACCTGCGAAGTGCATGTGCAAAGAATAATTCCCACATTGTGCTAAGGCGTGAATTATTCCAACCACATGGCGCAAAACGGGATAAACCTGTAGTCCGTCTCATTTCTGGTAGCACGGCGGGATGTGTGCCAGCTTAAACGCAATTTGGGTGCTCCAAACTCGTAACGACCCCGCTGAAAGGCGTCAAGGGTGTTTTCAGGAACAACCTGTTGCCCCTACCCCTCACCAGCACCCCACCCACTCTGCCACAGCGCCGCTGTAGGACGAGGTCTAGCAGTCTCACGAGTTGCGTCAAGAAACTACTAGTGTAAGCTGCAAGGTCTTCGTGACTCCGGACATGGAATCCTTGGGTTCTGACGGAATCTAAAACGTCGGAGCGGTGGTGCTGATCCCCTGTCCATCATGATGACTTTGATTACTTGCGTCATGAATGCTGCTGTACTTGTTCAGCAAACTGCTGCAGCAAACCTCACGCAGCGACTGCAATGAAGCCACCCAAACCAATAGTGACTTGGTTTAGGAGTTTGGGGTTTGCAGCTGGGGCGTTGCATGCTTGCAGAACTCGACATTTTAGCAAGGGCAAGTTTGTGGCCTGAAGTCCTGGGGTGTGACCTTTTTAACATGAACGGCACTAGCGTCTCCGTTGTCTTTCATCAACACGAGCTTCTTTCCTGCATCTTTCAGTTGGCCCTGCCTCGATGTATGTCAAGACCACGGCCAGGCAGGAGCCCGCCTGCTTCAGCACCGAGTCCAGATGCTTGGCCACCAGCCCCGCCAGCCATGCCTGCTCTGCCGCTGTTTTGTATGTAGCTTCAGGGGTGCCTTTGACCTACTGTCGATACAAGAAGGCAGCTTCAGGTGGGTACGTCTGATGTGGGTAGTTGATGAAATCTCTTGCAACTTGCAAGCCTTGAATTACAGGGCCCTCACAGACCTCAGAAAAGTAGGGAAACTACACCCACCTGAAAGTGCCCTAGAGGTCTACACACATGCGTCACAGTTCATCTGGATGCGAGTCGGTTTTGCTGTTCCATCCGCATCACAGGCACCAGGCTCTTTGATGAACGAACTCATCGTTTTCATGCACAGCAACTGGAATGGGCTTGCCGTGTAGTTCTTGATGTGAAATAGCAAGAGATCATGATGAAAGAACGTTCCGCAGCATGATCAAGATTTCGGTTTTACGAATCCTCGCCCTCTCTCTTCGGTGCCTTTGCGACGACGATGGCAAGCACGGCCACCGTCTTCAGGTCCCAACCGCTGAGTAGGCCGTTGTCGATGACGTGCCGGCAACCTGGTCTTGAAGATTTGTCCACCCTCTCAACTCTGCGAATGCTCTCTGAGATCCTTACGTAGATCCAGACCATCTTGAAGTCTACATCAGGGTTCTGCATACAGGGAACTCTAGTAAAGCATGGTTGCGGGACGGTGTGTTGTGCTTGGGCTGCTTGGACCTACGGGCAAGGCCGATTCACGACAGTCGTCTTTTGCAAGCTTGTGCCCCTTCTTATGCTCTTTTCTTATCAAGTCTTGCTCCTTTACTTCTGGCACCCTTGCAGTCTTGCTCCTGCAGACTCTTGCTCTCTAGAGATTGTAGGATTGTAGGGCGTTCGAAACAGGTGATGGATCCTGGCCCTGACTGGGAAGTGCCATCTGGAGTTCATCAGGCCCAGGCGCGTCCCGGCTTGCAGGACAAGTCCAAGTCCCGAATGACAAAAGGCTCCAAGACGTAGGTCCACAAGCCAGTGAAAAGCACGCCCGAAACGTCAACGTGCACCTTTGCTTCTTACAGGGAATCAAAGCCCTGGCAGAGGGGGCGAAGGCTTGCCAAAAAGGCCAGCTGAAGACTAGTCTTGTTGGACCTTGTTTGGGAAGGCTTGGCTCCACACTTGGCTGAATTGGCTTATGTGGTTGCTGGCGATCAATCGAGTGCTGAGCACGTTTGGGCTTCCCTCTTAAATTTCCGAGGCCCCTGGCCTGTGGCGTTTGGTCTACCCTTCTCTTTCGATTTTTTTCCTCGCTCCTAACCCCCCTGCCGACCCGCCCCCCTTCCCCAACCCCCCGCCCCCAGCCTGGCCCCCCTAGCCCATCCCTCTGCCGCCCCCCCCCGGCCCTTCCCTTCGATTCCTGAACTCACAGCTCCGTCGCGAATTGCTCTGCTTCGCATGCTGTCTGCCCTCCTCCGCCGCCGATCGCTGCTCGAGCCGGCGTTGCATAATGTCGCACATTTATCCTACAAGGTAGTTAGGTGGTGCTGGCAGAACATTTTCCCAGGTCCATGCCACCTTCTGGATGTGAAAGGGGCATGCCTCGTTGCGCCGCAGGGCCTTGAAGTACTTCTCTGCGCAGACCGTGGCTGCAGACTCAATCAGGCACATCGCAAAGGTCACACCAATCCCGTAAAGGACATTCTGCGACCCTTCCTGGCCCATCTCCCCCTTGCTTGTCAGATAGACAACCATGGACCAGCAGATCATTCCCAACGCCATCCATTCCAAACATGAATAGCGCTTGTCTAGGATGACCCGGGCAACCAGGGGAACGAGGACCAGGCTCAGCTGCGAGAGCAGCTGGACAACATCTGCAGCCAGATACCGCAAAGACACAAACTTCAATATGGCCGCAAGCTGGAAGAGCGCGTTCACGGGCGCAAAGTCACGGAATGCTGGCAGGTCCCAGCATCTCTCGAGGCCGCGTCTACCCTCAAAGCAAAAGGCAGCAAAGCCGCCAATCAGGACTGAAAAGCAGGCACTCAGAAACAGAACCGACGAAAATGCGTATGGGAAGTCGATCGGACCGTCCGGTCCATCCAGGCGCTGACGTGAGACAGACTTGACGACCGAGTCATTTCCGCTGATCACTACGTAGAGGCAGAGCGCAACCTCTTTTCCGCTGAAGCAAATTCGAAAGCGAGCCTCGATGGTGCAGCAAGTTTGGTTGAAGTAGGGGCCCCACAGCTCTATCTATAAAACATCAGAACTTATAGTACGTTACTGGGGAGCGCTGCAACTCTGCAGCTGATTCAGCCAGGAAACTATTCTGCAACATGGCAGCTGCCTGCGTTTTCGGCTTGCTGGAGTTGCAGGGGATTTCTCGAAGCCTTCGCCAAACGTGCCTGGCAGCGACTCCGAGTATGGCGAGTGACCCTTGTCACTGCCATTCTTCCCGATGGGCTCCCTTGGCTGCTTCAGACATGAGGAGAGGAGGGTCAAGATGGCGAAGCTTTTGATGGTTTGGTTCCAGTCTGCTTGCCCCTCTAAACAGGCCCGACCGTCTTAGAGCTTGAAGGCACGAAGTTTCCGGAAGCTCGCTCAAGACTACCAAACTCCAGCGCAAGTCTACACTGACTGAGGTTCCCATAATTCCCCACCAAACATCATCAACACAGCATCCGTACACACAAGCAAAGCTGAAGCTGCAATTACTGAACTGACAAGCTTCGACTTTTCGGGCTCGATCAGGGAAGAAGCTTCACTCAGTGCAGAAGAACTCCTCCTTCGGCAGGGCTTGATTGGATTGGCTGCCGATGGCCCATCCAGCACAGTGGGCCCAGCGCCTGAACCAGCCCCGACCGTCTCAGGGCCAAGCGCCAGAGCCATTGGTCGGGTTGGATATTGAAGCTGAGCACAAAAAATGGCAAGCGTGTTTTGGCAGCTCTCCGGCCTTAGCCGAACCTATGCTACGTGTGACGGCAGGTGAGTAATCATAGATTTGATTTGGCCTGCGAAGCTGTAATTACAAAAGCTTTCCTTGGTGGCGAGGCACGTCCTCAAGCCTAATCTCCGAACAATGCCTAACGACTCCGCAAGCTGAATGACAACACCGCATCTTCACGAGAACGGGCCCGCTGTGAACCGAGGCACCTGATCCGATATCTGTAGAGGGTGCTGTTGCAGGCTGTCCTGTGCCGGCAGTTCACGTTCGCGAGCATTCTGTAGCTGCTGCTCATGTCCTTGCTATCTAGAGTATAGCCCATTGTTGTCGTTGACGCTTTAAGGCAACCATGCGCCCTGTCTCAAAAGCATTTAGATTTGTGGCCCTGGACTTGGGCAACCGATCTCTTCCTCGGGCATTTGCAGGCTGCTGGCTCCTGCCTCACTGCACATGCCTACTGTATCCTCTTGAGAAGCTTTGACCGACTGATGCTCCAGAAATTGCATGCCAAGCGTGCTTTACATTGCTTTACAGGGTCTTGACGTTCAGACAGGCGCCACTCTCGTTGGCAGGGCTTGAGCTACTAGCTCGAGGAATCGATCCCGCCGCTGTCGTCCGCAAGATGGATGGCTGTTGGACGTTATCAAATGGTTCTGGTCAGTTTAGAGAAGATAGTTTTGCCTCCAGCCCAGCCGCTATTTCATATTCGTTTGCATGCGCTTGCGTGCTTGTTTTGCGCCACGGCCACTTCTTGTTACGGCAGTGTCCAGAAACGGCTACATAGTTCAGCCCTGGAAACATCCTTGTGGCATCTGCAATTGGACTGCTGAGGTTTCCATGCCTACAGGACTATCTATTATGGCAATGATTTGGTGGGATCATCAGGTTCCAGTGATCCCGTTCCAAGAGGCACTTGCTTGAACGTTGGTGCAAGTGCCTGTGGCTCACGATCTCCCGGCACCAATGTTTTTTTTGATTGGGGGCGCTGAAGCGTTCACCTGTATGATCTGCATGGCAGTGTTCAGCCTTCTGAGTAGATGTTACATCAGTGTCTATATAGAATGATAAGCAGGTAACATGATGAGCATGCTGCAACAATCAATCTCACATGTGCGACACATTTTGTGGCCCAAATGCAAGAACATCACGCCCAAGGACTGGTCGCGTCTGACACAAGCCACTCACCAAGTCAGACCACCTTCACAGCACCGGCTTTGCCTGAGAAGACGAGAGCAACCAGTGGCATGGAAGATAATGCAGAGACTGCTTGGCAGTCCCTGATTGCTGGCGCCTTATTTCCTATACTATGAATACTTGACGTAACTTCAGCGTGCTTGGCAGGTATATGCGCGCTTGCCACATGTTTCTCAATGCTTGTGTCGGTCCAAACCGACGTGGGCAAGGCACGTAAACAAAATCCACAAACACTTGCGATGCAGAGCATCAGAAAGGGTTGACGAAGCGTGCCAACCTGAGCCAGCACTTGCACATGCCTGCCATGCATGATGCAAACATGCACATGCAATGTCAAGCACGCAGGAGCACACACCGTTGAAATTCACCAGAGCTACGTCCAGAGGATCCAAGCCACTGAATCATGGGCATGGGCATCATTCGATGCCCAGCAGGAAAATCTTTGTTGTGCACCAGGTCCTGGCCACGACTCCTGATTCCTTGATGGGCACATGACTCGCTGCTTCTGAGGCTCCACCTTGTCAGTGCTCTGAGTGATGATCGCCATGGCTTGTCGGGGCTCGCTGCTCCGTACCAAGAAAACCAGCTCCTGGCCAGCATGGATCAAAGCCGCATCCGTGTTGTTCGAGCTGGAGCCACTGCCTCGATCAAGGGGTCATTGCCGGCAATGGGATCCTCCAGAATGGGGTCAGTGTGGCTCTTTCCTGGCAGGGATACAACACGGAGATTTCAGGCCTTACAGAAACTGGTTTATGAGCACTGACATCAGCATGCTCCACTCTCCATGGCTGTCCTGGGTACAACTTCAAGTCCACCTCAGCTCCAGCTGCTTGAAGGGTCTCTGCAAAGTCGACTGCGCTGCGAGATGGAACGCTGGTGTCTGCAGTGCCGTGGACGAGCAGCCTCAGGCTCAAAATCATGCAAAGGAGGCCGGAGAGGAGGAGAGAGAGTCAGAGAGGAAAAGGGAGAGAGAGCAAGGTGCTTGCCTACCGTCATCCAACTTCGACGCAATAGCACATCGAGAGACAATGACTTCATTGCAAAGACGTAGCGGCAAGTCACAAGCCGGCAACGTCACCAAGCCAACATATCCGACATATCCCGCGATCCAACGCACGCACACGGAAACAATAGCAAGAACAACTAGAAACAACAATTGGCTTTGACCCGGAGCGGGAGCATTCAGGCATGTGTTAATAACTAGATCAAAGTCAGACGCTAAAGATATATTTGGCTGCGTGTGTGGCAACTACCAGCTGCCTATCAGACCAGGATAGTGGACTGCAGCACAGTTTTGGCATCTTCGCACATTCTCTCCCGTGAGCTCAGCCCACTCCATAGTTGCAACATGCTCGGCGCATGAGATTTGTTTTTTTATACAAAATTAATATCTAGTCCCAGGCCTCGTGATAAGGGACAGGGCGATTCACGAGAGGTTGCTACAAAGAGGAGATGGATAAGCGAAGAATCTCCACATCCCCAACTCCTTGCTTGCACATTATGCTAGCATGCCACATCGGCGGCAGCTTCAGCGCTCGATCGGCCGTGACCAAGAGAGTTGGAGAGAAGTCTGCAAGCCGCCCCTGCCAAGAAGCACAAAGCGCTGCTCTACAAAGACAATGTTGAGGCCTCAAAGATGGATGACAGCAATCGCCGATCCAATCCACGACTGTGGAAATGCTCGCTCAAGTCCACAAGGTCGAACGGCCCAGAGATCCCCACGAAGGCAGACACGTCCTGCGGTCCAAAGTTCACAAGTCTAGGAAACAAGCATTTGGATGAACTTCGGAACAACCCTGCGACGCTGCGATGCACTAAGGAGCAGTTGAAGTCACAATATCCAATATCATCCTATTGGACGCTTCCCCCATGAAGAAATTGCTGCAGCCTTGGGCTGCCAGCGGATGGGGCCAGTCAATGCTGTGGCCTTCCGAAGCAGATGAAGCAGAGTTCATATGGATATCGGAGGCATATGGAAGCATGCTTTCAGCTCTTTTGGACCTTTATTCACCCCTTCATGTATCCTTCAAGGTATCCCTTTCCATTTCTTTGACTCTGCACCTCGCGCTGTGCAGCTACGACAAAGCATATTTGCTGCTTTGAGTTGCATGTTGCGCAGTCATGCATGCCCTTCCACTGCCGGTGCTGGTACTGTTCGAGCGTGGTATGCTCGTCGCTTTCCACGATTCGTATGGTTTGTACTGCAGGTAGGATACTGTAGTTGTTGGCAGCATTGTTCTGGTTTATGCTGGATGTAGCCTCGTCAGCCCTCCTCAACAATGCCATGGCCAGCAAATGAGCGCCCGCAGACTGGCCCACGAGGAAAAGCCTCCCAAAGTCTGCGCCCAAATTGATCCACACGTGCACCTGGACGTGCCTGGATGGATCTCCCCCGTACTCCTCACAATGGTCTAAAGCCCATTGAACTGCAAGGAGTATGTCCTGGGCTGGTCAAGAGCTCACATCTCTTGCAGGTGTCTTGCGAATGCGCGGGCGCTGGCGCATGCAGTTGCTGTGAAGCAGGTCTGAAGCACTCCTCCACCATGTCTTCGCCGGTAGCCTGAGGGAAGTTCCTGTAGTCAGGAACCTGACATAGGGTCTGTCACACGCGTCGAGGTTTGCTTCGTTGACTACACCGCCAAGTAACAATGAGGAGAATGCCAAGACGCTGAAGCACCATGCCCATCAGCATTCCCCACCTTGGCAATGGATGCTTCAAGGGGATGTATATAGATTTATTCATACATTATTTTATATATATATACATATTAATAGACGTTTGTACGATTTTACATAGTGGCACTAGCCTTAAGAAGGCAGTTGACCATTGCGGCCCGAATACATCTTGTAGCCGATGATCCACACACCACCGGTGAAGAACACAACCTCAGTTTGTCACTTGACAAACTGTATACAGTTGGCAGGGGGCCAAGGCCAAGACTACTGGTCGCGAGCCAGCATCCCGAAACTCTTGCCTGCCACGTGCACTCGTCCCACTTCCCGAGTGATCATACTGGCAGCGCGGAGCAAAGGCCAAATAACATGTTCAGCAGCCTGAGCGTGTAGATGTCCTTGGGGCAAACTTCAGCACGAGATGGCACGCATTCAAGACTTCCAGCAGCTTCAAGAAAACGCTTGTTTTCTAGGAGTCTAGCTCAAAAGCGGGGCGCAGCAGCACACAACGTTGGAAGGGCCCAAGCAAGCTCTAAAAGATCCAATTGACTTCCAGGCCCAAATTGAACCCCAAATAATTGGCCCGGATTTGTTAAATTGGCTTCAACAGGCTCCCCAAAAACCCTATCAGCGGAAGCCTACATCTCGCTGCAATCTGAGTGTCCATTAAGTGTCGTCGCTGTGCACCGTAGCGAACAAAATTCGCTACGCTTGGATGCAGCCAGCCTCAGAACTCAAGGCTGAACTGCCCATGATATCAACGGTGGGCCTTCTTCCAAGTATGGTCGACTGCACGCGCAGGAAAGTGGCAATAGGCAGTTGCCCGGACAAAGACCGGCAAGAGTAAGAGAATGTAGAGCAACAGCCGCGCCATCAGATAGAAGCACCTGCACAGCTTATCGTGCGAATGAGGCGTCGCAGTAGCTGGGTTAGCCTGGCGGAGACGTGGAGGGCCCACAGAAGCTTGCCCGCCATTCGGATAACAAACACCGACCTGAGGGAAGGTACTCTCTCTCTCTGACTCTGCTTTGCCAACATGCCACACCGTCGGGCAACCTTTTTCGTGTGCGCAAGCCATTCGCTCAAATTTTGGGAAAGGGTCTCTTCTCGTATGGCGTGCCACCTGCAAAAGCTCGGCACTTCACTCAGCTTTGCGCGGGGCGAAGCTCATTCCGCAGCTGGTTCAGCTCGGCATCCTTGGATGCGAGCTCGTTCCTGAGCTGCTTAACTTCCATGGTTAAGGAGCGAAACTGCTGCGCGAACTCTGTCATCTGGCCGGCCATTATGTCCAAGGATTGCGTATCAACTGAACGTTTCCTGAGCGGCTGCAACTGTTCCAGATCTGTCAAGACCATATTGAAGACGTGGATGTTTTTGGCTTTGATAGTTGTTAGCCATTCTAGGAATTCAGTGGAGGTTGTTTTGCCATCCCCATCGGCATCTAGAACTTCGGCCAAGTTCTGTCCATCTACCCTGCCTCCAGACAGCTGACACAGCTCAGCCGTGACCAGACTTCCATTTTGATCTGCGTCAAGCTTCGCAAAGATCTTGGCAATTCGGGCAGCTTCAGAGGCGCTTAAGGCGGAGCCGCCACTCAGAGGGTCGCCGCCACCTCCCTCCTCCTCACTGTCGCTGCCAACGACAACAGCCTCATACTCAGCCCATTCATGTCCAACGTCACTCTCACTGGTGCTGGAGCTGCTGACTTCCACTGCATCGTTCCATGCTGTATCTCCCTGCAAAATCCGATCGCGCTGCTTCATCTGCAGCTCGTGATTCCTCTGCAGGCGCCTTTCAGCTTCTTGCTCGAAGCCCCAGGTCAGCATGGATGCGGGGATGGCAAACTGTGCCGTGGCAAGCACTGCAGTGGCCACCACGATAACCTTGGTGTACCAGGGAAGCTGGCCACTTGGCTGCCCTTGGCCTGTGAGCATCATTACGGACAGATACATGGTGGCAGGAATAGACTCGAAGTCGTCTTCAACTCCTGGAGTGTCAGGCGGCGGTGCCATGTAGTACAGAATCGTGGACGTAAGCAAGATGAGGATTGCGTCAATCATGAAGGCCACGCAAAGGATTTCACTGTTGAAATAAAGAACTCTGGCAATCACGTCAACTGAGCTCATCACTGAGTTGGACTTAAACAATCGGAAGAGGCGAATAACTCGTACGCACTGCAGATTCGGCAGATTGTAGGGCACAACTTGTTCGATGAACCAAGGCAGGAATGAAATCAAATCAACAATAGAACTGAAGCTTTTGAAGAAGGCTAGTCGGGCGGACAGCTTTGTCAAATGAAAATACCTCTTGTTCTCATGGATTGTTCCCAGACGGATAAGGTACTCAACTAAGAAAACCCAGGAGGAAACGGCCTCGATCTTGCTGAAAAGCTTGGCATGCTTTCTGTCAGTCGCCTTGTCCGTCTGTATGATGAAGCAAACGACATTCACCACAATAAAGCTGGCGATCAAGTGCCGGAAGGCCACCACCTGCAAGAGCACGCATGTAGGTCTCTCACAGAGATGAGCTTCTAAAATCTGACTATTCTGCCGCAAGAAAACACGCACAAGAGGGGGTGGTTTTGGTGTCGGCAAGATGTTATGATGTTTCTCTTCATTCCTCCGCGCACCTCCGGGCGGTGGCTGTGGGAGCTTACGAGCGAGTACCAGAAGCTGTGCCCTTGGCCACCACGCTCTTGACGCCGGCGTTCACGCTCCTTCTTTGCAGCAACAACCCGCCGCAGCCGAAGAAGGTCCTCATTCATTCCAGAATCACACATATTATGCTATGGATGACTTGCTTGTGGCAGCGAGCAACTCGCAAGCACTATCACTTCCGGCCTCCTTGCTTCCAACGGGCTGTGACTCTCCAGGAGCTGTGGCAGCATGACACAGAATTTTCTTGAAGTGCTGCGCTTCTCCTGCTGGACCGTTTCCTGTGTCTGCCAGCACTTGGTACTCGCCTGTGAACTCTTCTTGCGCAGCCATGGCTGCACTAAGTTGCTAGCCACTCCTAACAGGAGTGCTTGTGCCACCGCTGCGCGAACTCCCGCGACTGTTGCGCTTCAGTGATGTTGCTCACGCACATGCACGCAGGCAAAGCTAGCTGCCCAGATCTTCCCGCACAGTCATTATCTATCTATCAGATGTTGACATGCAGTTGTGATGTTGGCAAAGTTGACAAGTCTGCGCATGGGCAGGTGACCAAGAGTTTCTGACACCCGCTTGCGGCAAATGTAGGTCTTCGTCTATTCACGATCTTGTATTGTAGCTTGAGATGTTCCGCAGTTGCTTGAATTATTTCGCAAGAGCTTCCCTCAACCATTGGCTCCTTGCGGACAATGCGCGACGTTTACGTAGGAGTCTCAGGAGAGGTGAGAATCGTCGTCAATGATAAGTTAGAGTCGTGGGCTGATACTAGCAACAGAATTGAATGTCATGGTTGGCAGACCGGCACATCAAAGGAAGTGGCCTGGAGGATTTGCTGAAAGCTTCAGCCTCTCTCTTTGCCGGCTTTCGAGGCTTCCATCTATCGACAGATTCCCAGGCGACTGATACGCGGCCGTGAACTCGAGTTGGCAAGGTCATTGGCTTGCATCGGCTTGCAGAATCTTGAGAGCATCTCGCGGAGCAGCTCTTTTATGTCAACTGGCAGCCAGCTGCAAAATGATGGGTTGAATCGTTGAACTGCTGACACAAAATTGAAGTTTTCACGCGTTTCCTGCCCTGACTGTGTTTCGTGACGTGCTACAGGTTTTTCTTGGCAGCGTGATCAGCACACCCTTTGGCAAATGGGCAAATGCACTGTGGTCCAGGCCCATCCCAGACTTCCTGGAAGCCATCCTTGAAAGTGGCCGCGGGGCTCGCGCCAGCTTTCCACACTTCCTGAACAAACTCGGCGAACTGCCAAAATCTTCCAAATCAATTTGTAATGTGAAACGCATGCTTGATGCGCATTAGATTGAGCTGCTACTGCCTATCTGGTTGTAACTATCCCGTTAGAATTGATAATGCCCGTGACAAGATGTGGAGCGCTTTCCCAAAATCGGGAACCCGGTGTAGACCACACAATGCTAATCCTCATTATAGGGACCTCCGAAATAGCAAAATGGTACCCCTCGTTTTGGGAAGCCCCCATGTCGCACAGCCCATGCCTTGACCTTCTGACCAGAGTCTCCTGCAGAAATTAATCAGTTCCACAGGAAATAAAACACCGCTGGCTTGCCAGGAGTCTGCCAGCTTCGGGTCAAGACTTTTCGGCACGTTCAAATTGCAACATCTGTGTAGCAAACGTTTTCTGTGCAAGCAGTCCTTTCCGCAGCACATGGCGGGGTGTTGCAGTGTGATGTCCCATGCGTGTGGCTGGGTGGGGATATCAAAGCTGGCTGAGGGTTGGGCACACGTCGCAACGGCTTGCCAACATCTGCTTAGGTTTGATTGCTTGCGGGCTCCTTGCAATTTGCCTTGCAACCTTTCAGCTGCTTCTAGGCCATTGGCCTTGCAGGAGGCAAATGACATCAAACGGCAGAGCGACCTCCCCAACGGTCCCCAAGTCTCATGCAAACAGGACACCTTGCTGGGGCATCGCTTTTCTGCCGCAACTCTGCTTCGCGCCGTCCAGCTGGTCCTACCCAACTATGCATCTGAGTGCAGTTCTCACAGAGCGACTGCTGATGCATGCCGCGATCCAGGCTGGAGCCGCGTGATGCATCAGAGCTGAAAGCTAGGCAATTTCGTTTGCTTGGCCTGCTTGGTGGATCTTCTCCAGGACGCACCAAGGCTACGTTGTCGCTTCAGTACTCATGCTCCATGCAGAGCATCTCCAAGCACTTCTGTGCCAGATCCGTCAACCTGGCGCAACGTGTTTTTCAAAAGTGCAGCGCCCCAGTAAGTATCTTGCCGCAGCACGCAACTGAACACGGCAATTGAGGTCAAACAGGGCCTTTTGCGGGCGGCGCAGCGACTCCTTGACAAGAAACTTCAGCCTTTGGTTTCAAGCAGCCAGGGTCGGAAAATGCAACCAGCTTTGCCGCAGGAACTGGAACAGTCGTTTAATCCTTCTATCCCTTTGGGACAGCAAAACGGAATTGGGCCGGAGATTTGTCCAGCCCTTTGTCATTAACATCGCTCTTCTCATACAGATGTGGACCTCGACGGCCAGGCGTCGTAGAGAAAGATCAGAATCACGCTAACCATGCAAAGGACCTTGCGCAGCATGTGCAGCCGCAGTTCATGTTGCGTTAGGCCGTTAGGCACGTGAGGCATGGGCCGCTACTTCTGGGGCCCACGCATTCACGCCTGTGACAACGGTGCCAAGGATCTCTGCATCTGCCACAAGATGTTGCTTGGCAGCTCAGGTATGCTCAGGTTCTGTATTACAAGTAAATGACATGCCTACACCGGAAGTACAGTGATACCTGCAAACAAACTAGGTAGGAGAAAGGCCGGGGAGCGTTGACCGCGGACAATGTCCTCAACGTCTTTGGCAATCTGGAGCGCAAGCAAGGCCACCTGCCATGCAAAGTCCGTGTGCGCCAACTACGCCTCTTGACTTCCAGCATTTGTCCCGCAGTTCTGAGGTGCCAAGTGACTGCCGCAAAGCATATGAGGGCGGTGATGAAAATCCAAAGAGACCACGCCACTCGAAAATGACGGCTTTTATCATCGGCCATTCTGTAGTCCATAAGGAGCTCGACAATCCAAGCGCGTTGAATCAAGCCTTGCCTGGGCTTGATGATCATCCCCCGTCTTTAACAGAAAATTCTGAAATCTCTTCCATGCGGACCTTACAAACAGTCTGTACCTGGCGTCTCTTTCCATGCCAGCACATGACGGCAAGTTTGCTAATATGTGCATTGCATATAGATATATGTATACATAGATACAAATACATGTGAGATATGTGAGATATATACATAGCCCAAGGTGCCTGGGCGGCTGAAGCTGTTTCATTGACGCGAACCGACCGCTTAATCGCAGTCGCTGCTGTCGTTGCTCGCTCATCCAGCCCACCGGCTTGATACCTAAGCATAGCAGCAACCCAGCAAGCCCACCTCAGGCTTTACATTAAGCGAGCCGAAGCAAACACCTCACAGAAACAGCACCAGGCGTCTGCTCGATTTGGGAAGCAGTGCACGTCCAGAATTCGGGACAGGATTTCCTGAGCAGCATGTAAAGATTCCTATCAAGTATTCTTCAAGGTTGTGGGCACGGACCAAACAAGGAACACGCGACAGGACTGTGAATATGCCAAACAGATCCAAACAAAAGCCCCCGCCCCCGATGGCAAACCACGGGGAGCCCACCCCTTTGGAGATGGAGGCCCATTTAGGAAATGCGTCTGACGTGGGACATGCCTCCAAATTTGAAGACCTTTCAGAACGTGTCCGGCAAATACAATCACCGATTGCTGACAATCTCATAATTACAGATGTTGTGGTTGCAAGCATTGGCAAAGAATCGACCGAGAACCCCCCCTTTGGTCAAGTTGTACAAGCCAGGTACGCCCTGGTGCCATTTGCGCAGCGATGCACATGGATTCTGCCATATCCTCAGGAAAGTGCACTGAATCATGTCCATAAGCTGCTTGATGTTCACCACTCTGGAGGCAAAAACTACGCTCCTCAACAGACAGGTTCTCTTGTCCATTCTGACCACAGAGAACAGTTCCTTGCGCAACGCTCTCCTTGATGAACACCTGACAGCAAGACTCTGGGTGAAGTGGACCGGTGGCTCTTGCATCAAGATTTAGCCAAGAAACCAATTCAGAAGAAGTTTTCAGTGCCCATTCAGGGTCCTCTTCCCAGAACTTGGACAGAGGCAGGAGAAGCCACTCCACATCATAGGACATATACAAGAAGATGATGTAAAAAAGTGCCGGCAGGCCAAAGAAAACAGCGTCCTTAGTTCAGCTTGCGGGTCACAGCCCTCTTTGTCAGGAGAACACGCGAAGCTGTACAAATCCCTGATCGACACAGCACCGCAGCATCAACCTTGCTACCAGGCAGCCTTCTTGAGACCAACCTCGGGCGGAGCACCAGGCCCGGGGGGGGCGGGGGGGGCCGGCTAGAATTCCTTAAATCTCTGCACAAGGACCAAGGGGCAATCACAGCCTTGAGATCGTGAACCTCCATGTCCTGCTGCTCAGCCACGACCATGTGAAAAATGAAGTGGCAGAGAGCCAGCACCTTGCTCTCTGTACTTTGTCGCAAGAACTGGCATAGCGAAGCTTTCCAACGCCGGGAGCTCACATCAACCGCTTGCTTGCTACAAGAGCCACGCACGTGATCACGACCCACCAGAACATTGGATCCTGGAGCTGCAAAGAGCTGAAAGCCGGCTCACGAGTGTTTGCTGTGCTTGAAGCAGCTAGAACATCCTTGTAAGGCGCCAGGTTCTGGAAGTCGACCAGAACGCCGTGTCGGATCATTAGGTAAAACCTTGCAGCCAAGCAGCCTAACTCCACAAGCAAGAGCTAGACTATGCTAGACCGCTCTCTGAGACTCGGGCAGCCGTTGACATAAAATAAGCTGCGATGCCACGACTAAAGCCACAATTATGGATACAGGAGGAAAGCACCTGAAAGGAAAGGAGATGTGCGGTTTCGGACTCAACAAGCCCTTAAATGTGCCCCAGGCATGCAGAACTCATGCCGTGGTACCGAACGAATGCCTTCGAAGCCTCACAAACATAGCTCTGCGCGAGCCCAATGCTAGCCTGCAGCTTAAGTTCTGCATCAATCTGTCAGGCAGTGAAACATGAGCCGTTTGTAGCAGCCTGCAAACAATCATGTGCAGCTGAGTTGCAGGATCACACTGCATGAGGAAATCTTTGGCATCTGCTTGAAGCATTTTTTGAATGCCTCGTCTACTTGATTCGATTCATCAAGCATGCATGATTCATTTGAAAGTATTCTGTCAAAGCACGCGTCGAGAACACTTGAAGTGCGATTAGTGAGAGCGCCAAGCACCTGATTGGGTCTTGGGCGCTCTTCGCGCTTTCGTCATGTGCGCTGCCATCACGAATTTTGCTCACGAAGCTGCAGCCAAGACTCTGCCGCCCTCAGATGACCAAGGCAAATCCGCAAACACAGCAGAGTCGGGATTGCGCTCTACGCGCAAAAACCCATGGCAAGCAATTAGATGCGGTACTAATCTGTATCAGGTGTCCCATCCTTCCTAGGAATTGCCTATAAAAAAGTAAAACCTAAAACATCTAATTTGGCTAGCCCAGGGAATGCTTAAGACATGGGCAGAAGTGCGTGCTTCGACCGGGTACCAGACAATCGCAAAACTGTTTCCGACCAAGGCAGAATATAGAAAAGTATAGAAACTTCTGGTAACCATAACACATTGGTTTGTCTGTGGACGTTGCATGACCCCTCTGACTTGCCATGTGGCCCTTCGACAGAACGGCTTGTGGCCGAACCCAAGCCCTAGAATAGTTGCCTGTTCTTCCGGCTGGGAACGTCAGAGGGATCAGGCCCCCGTGTTTTTAAAATAAAGCCATCTGAACATAGAATTCGCACCACACCACGTGCTCTATTGTGTAGGGTTTACCCTTTTCGGAAGAGCTCGGAAGAGTTCGGGCAAGGATGCCAGGCCTTAGCGGCGGGGTGGGGCCTGATAGAGCCTGGGGCAATTGGTGTGGGGGCTTCAGATCTTCTAGGCGGCGCTGCTAATTCAGAACAGTTCGGAAGGGCTCGGCAGAGCTCGGACTGGACCCCATAAGCATTCCAAGGCTGGGGGTCTTGGAAACGAGGCACCGCTACGGCCTGCGACTGCTTGCAGGGCCCAGTCCGAGCTCTTTTAAGAGCCAGGAAAAGGTGCTCGGACTTGAACGGCTTGCACATGTCTGGTTCCTGGACAAACAGCCGCACTTTAAGTCCCCCTAAACGCACGTATATACAGATTGCCCCGATTAGAAACAGTTTCTTCGGCGCGCAAGCTCCTCCAAACGCAGGAGACTGAGACGTGAACTTCAAAACCTACAAGATAATTCACATGATAGCCTTCTACAACCTCCCAAACACAAAGTTTGGGATCCTATCTTCTTAACCCAGGAGATAGGATTCTGTGCCAGCCTTCGGTGTCTTAAGCATTCCCAGGGGTATCCCCAGCCCTTTACATGCTTGTGGACCCCAAAAACTTGTCTTAAGCATTCTCTGGGCTAGCCAACATCTAATCTCACCTAATCACGCTAGGTACTGCTGTTGTTGCTCCTGTAGTACCTATACCTTCAGGCAGCTCACGGCTCTGACAACTGACCACAAAACCTTGTTTCATACAGCCATCCATACCATCCCAGCTGTAGATAGCTGCTGTGATCTTTGCGTTCAAGGCTCCGACTACCATGGCTGTATATGCGAATACAAAGAGAGGCTCGCCCAGATACTCCTTGAAGCAAAGTGCGGTCTTTGCACCCTATGGCAGAAGAAGTTTCAAGATGGACAACTTGCAAGAGGCTGTCCCACTCATAGACTGTCTGGACGTCCAAACCTGCTTCTGCCGAACCTGCTGTGCATTCATCTCCACTCTCGAACAACTTGCAGGTAATGATGATGTGAGCCTGGTACGACGCCATAGCCTTCTTTGCCTGCCAGCAGGGTTTGGCGAGTGCAGCGAGCATCTCGGTCAATTTCCAACCGCTGCCATCTCTAGCAATGGTACGGGATCCCATTTGGCCAAAAGGGTAGCCATTACGCAAAGCGATGCCCGGCAACGGAAGGAAACACGCCTAACGATAAGAAAACTCTCCGGCGGGCGATTCCATGACAGTAACAAGAAGGAACTGGGGATAAATCCCCACCTGCAGTTGGAATCATGCCATCCATGCTTGGACAAGGCGAGCTCATCAAATTCTTTCTTGAAACGTCTATAGCGACTGTTGGCTGCATAACTTCTCGTTGACTTCGTCGTTCATGCTTTCCACTTTCTAGTTGGAATGAGTGTTCACAAGTCTACTGACATGCATGGAACGAGGGTGCTGAATCACCAGCGACAACACAATTCTTACCTTAGGCATCTTCTAGCTCTAATTGCGACTTGTGTTTCTCCATATGAGCACTCATATGGCTTCTGAAATGGATTACTGGCACATTGCCAGTGAATCTCCGCTGTGCTTCATGAAGGCTGCACAACTCCGTTTTGATCTGCGAATGAGCGGCTGGGTCCATGCAAAGTGGAAGCCAAGCGCAGCACCTTTTTTTCCTTGACTTCAACAGCCCCAGCACAAGCTACAAAGTCCGAAGCAGCAGTGACGCCACCCTCGACTGAGCTCCTTGGCGACAACGTGTGTCAATGCCCTTGCTAGCAGTACGAGTGCAGTTTTCGATTTGGGGAATACCTGCAAGGACTCTCAGCTAGTGGAAGTGCTTCGGCTCCATTTGCTGACTGGAGGGACGCTGCAGCCAAGTTTCCATTTGCAAAATAGTTCTTCGACCGGACGTCACAGGCGTGATCCAGTGCTCGCATCGATCACCGTAGAAGAATGCAGCATCGCCTGTCAAATCCGATGGCACGCCCCCCCTCGGCTTGGGGAACAGCATGACAGCCAGGCTGGAAGGATGACTCTCGAATATTCCAAAACGCCTCACATGCTGTCATCAACATGCAGTTGCTGCAGTTGCACGATACATGTGTCCAACCCCTCCGACGGATAATATGATACGAACTTCCGGATGTTTCACGAGCAGGGCATGTCATTCGCGTGTTGCTGGTATGGCTGAAAAACAAGCAGGAGGAGATGAATAGTTGCTTAGCCATGCTACAGGAGAAGATGTCACCATGCCCTCACCCAAGACCAACTACCCCTACCGGCAGGAATTCGACCAAACAGCTCTGAATCTTCCTCTGCTGGTCTCTGCTGAAAGCAAGGTGCATTCATCTTCTCGGTTACAGTTGACGAAAAAAGACAAGACTTGCTTTTGTGACAAACCTCACGTGATGCATGCACAGAAACTAGACAGGATGTACGAAGCCACAAGAAGATTAGGCAAACCAAGCCATCCAAGCCATAGCCCCAGGATCCCTTGGGCCTGCTGCCAGCTTCACACGGCGACTGTCCTTTGCTGCAGGATGCTGCAGGGCTTGCGAGCGACCGAAGTGTGCGCCCTTCGCTGACGGCTTCATCTGGTTGACCCAGGCAGTTGCAATATGCAGAAGAGCAGCGCCGCCCTTCCAGCCGGGTTCAAAGTGATTCACACCGCCAGCGAACTCTGTCGGTTGAGACAACAGCACTATGACCGTGACCTGTGTGTCAGGAAGGATCAACTTGTTTCAGTGTTCTGTGCAGTTGCGGTTGCTCGAAATGTGCAACCTGGGACTCGTTGTCCGTGTGGGGTTCAATGGTTCCGGGCTCGCCCAACTTGCCCACATCATATTGAATGTACCTGTACAGCATACTACAGATGTTAGCGGTGGTTACAAGAAGCACGATCGTACCGCATTCAACGACGCGTAAGAATAGCAGAGCGTCTCGATCTCTGGGTAGAAGCGATCGTCTGCCTCAATCTCACACCAGAGCTCGTTGTCCAGAGCCCTGCGCACCCGGCTGCCAAGGACTCATATTTGCGAAATGCATTCACGCATTTCACGTGTGCGACTGGTAGACCCACCCTGACAGTCTGACCAAGACCACGATGGCACCAGCCAGCTAGCAGGCAATTTCCAGGACACGGCACCGACGAGAAAGACAAGCAACGGAAGACAGCTGCTTTTTGCAGAAAGGCAAAAGGCAAAGTCCCTCCAGCCTGCAGTGATCCATCAGCCTGGTGTAGACTTTGGGCAGGGCCTCCTGGCGAGATGCGCTTCTGTCACCTCATCCCTACTTCTGCTTCCACAGATCTACTGGCCATATTGTCATACTTGATGGACTGAAAAGCAGATAACTTGGAGCACACATTGCTATTTGGCTAGGATCTATGGTTTGCAGCACACTTCTGGACTTTGACGGGGCAAATACTACTTGTGGAAGACTAGAAGGCAATAATTGGCAATACAACCCCAAGCATCTTCGCGCCGATTGGGCACACAACCGGCAGAAGGCAATCCTTCAGCTCATGCTCCATCCTCCAGACTTCATGACGATAGATCAGATCATCGTCTCGATCATCTATCTCCTCGTCAGACCAAACAACAAGAATTCCACAGCCTGCATCTCAAAGAGCAAAAGGTGAACAAACATGAAACGTTGTGAATTTGTTTACGCAGCTTGAAGGCCTTGAGTGCAAAGGCCTGGCGCATGCCGGTGACTTGCAAGACCTTCAAAAAAGAAATTGAAACACATCGGAAGAACGCTTTCCGTAGGTGATCTCTTGATGCATTTTGGCACCTCCTTGGGCGAAAGAAATCCACGCACGACGGCAACTTGGAGCTCCTGACGCAGGGCTGGCAGAGGCTTCTTTAGACGTGACATGAAACTCTGCTTCAAGAAGACAAGGCGGAGTCTCAGAAGCCCACAACTTCCTAAACCATACCCAGGCTTATACACCCTCAGTCCATGGGCCTCTTTCTCAGCATCCAGCAACTCGAATTCCGGTGAAGGTGGAGGATCGCCAGTGAACTCCACCACATCGCCTTAACCGGAACACTATGATTGGCTGTGATTGGGAGAAAGAAGGGCAGTGGAATCAGAGGCTAGGGGCGTGGCAGTCATCTGCATCTCCATACTTTGGGCATGCAGAACACCACCATGGGAGCGAGTGGACCATCTATTGAATTGCAGAACAGGGGACTCAATACCCTGAGACAGTGACGGGCCAGTTCATGACAATGAAATCACAGTGTGGGTCTAGCCCCGTAGCTGAAGTCGACGTGAACTCATTGGATTGCAGAGACAATCGCATCATGCCGCATCAAAGTTTTTTGGTTCGGGGACTTCGTGAGACTTCGGACCGGACTTTTCTGGACTGTGTACTGTGGCTGCAGAGCAGGTCGAGTCCAGATGACATCCTGTCGCATGATCGCTGTAGCAGTCGTCTGCCCGGCCTCCAGTTGCAGACGGCTTGGCCTCAAAAGCGCACGACAGCAATTCACAATGGTCACAACAGTCCTTGCAAATTGCAGGGCAACTGGTGAGCCACAAATTACTTCCGAGCCTGCGTCACTTACACTGCAGCAGTGCCAGCACTGCTCGTCAAATGCACCATCATGCGAAGCGACTTGCGCAGTAAAGCGGTTTTGTGAGTTTGGGGCAACTGCTGAGTGGCTGGGAAATAAGCACTGCAACGGTGCAACAGACACAAAGCAGCGGCAAACCGCCGTGCATTTTCTGGTCGTAACTGCCATCGAGTATAGTTACTCAAGGGCCGTTCTGCCCGAGCAATTGCGATATGTGCCCTTTCGGGCACCGGGAGCAACACGGTGACCCCTTCAAGCCATACCATGCTTATCACATACATCCCCGTTGTCCCTCTATCGCAGCGTGCTCACTGCTCGGAAGAGTAAGCCATGACTCCACACTCGGCAAATCCTGCTGCGCATGGTTGAAACATGCTGCACGCATACCGTCTGACAGCACAAGTCTATCCAAGTCTGCAAGGCCTGCCTGTGGTTATCTTCATCGATGACTGCAGGTGACACCGCGTTGCATGGCAAGACTCAGCATGCATTTCTCCAAGTAGAGAAGGCTTTAAATCCGCTGACACGCTTCAAGGGCGCACTATGCCACTTAATCCGACTTCACAGGACCCATCTGCGTGCCCAAGCCAGTAGCATGTCCTCGAGGCCTGTACTGACTTTTTTGAGAAAGTCCACTGCAAGTAGCAAACATGGATTGGGCGGAGATTTCAACAAACAACTGCAACGAAGGTCTTTATTACCACACCACCTCAAGCCAAGTTCGCTTGAAACGCGTTGAGAAATGCTACAAGAAAGAGCTAGCAGCCCTAGCAGCCCCGAAGCTGCTCAAAGGCAGAAAGCCAAGCCACAAAAGGCCACACTGGGCTGAAGCTCTCGAAAATCATGACGCAGCGCGCGAAAACAACAGATGTCGGGCCAAAAATGTGTTCAAAAAATCCGAAGATTTGCCTAGGTCCAGAAGCCAACGGTGAGCCATGCTCACACAATCCATTTGTTGCTGCCATTGGCCTTTGGTTTGAAGACATGTCATTGAGCTGAAAACCTTGCACACAGCAGTCAGCCTCAGTGCACGTGGCACATGCGTCCTGCATCGCTTCAGATGCATGTGCAAAGCCAGCTCAGCAAGCTGACAAGAGGCAAACTTCCAACACCAGGCATCACCGTTGGCATCATGCCGAAGATAGCAGCAACTTCCTTCCAGCTGGCTGACACGCCACCAACGAAGGTTTGCTGGAAGTTGCAAGCAAATTGGCGACAGAGGGCAAAATGTTATGCTTAAGAAGGCTTCTTCAGCACTGGAATGCACCGGGTTTAGCCCCTTGGGCTCACGTATCCCCTGGACCTTCGCGAGGCCAAGTTGTCACCGACTTTGAAAGCCCAATTCGCAAGGAAAATGCAAGGCGAAAGCTCTACTTTACGACAGCCAGGTATACCTGTGCAAAGCGGGTCTGGCAAGCTTTCTGACCCAGCATTGGAAGCCAATGCATGTCGTCTGCAAAGACACATGCGTGTGCCGGAAAAAAGCAGTCACATCAATCAGCAACAGCTTTGTCTGTTGACCCTTACGCGGAATGGGGAGTCCGAGAGCACTATTGCCAACGCTCGTAGAACTCAGTGATATAACACCTATGTAGCTATGTAGAACATGAACCGGAATGCTCAGCCAGGCTGGCGATACTCAGCAGCCAAGGAGGCCGGAAAATGTCTCATCTCAGTTCTGCGAGCTGAAGCCGAATCTGTCCAGACCTCTGCAAGGGCTTGATTGCCAACGTAGACGTATGCGTGAGCACTGCATGGGAGAAGACCTCAGATTGACCCTGCAAACTGTGCTTCGTTTGCAGTGGATCCAGCCTTCATCTTCCTTAGAGAAAGTGATGAGTCGGCCTTAGTCCGGCACATGGCTCTCCATGAAAAGCCCACCCAATTCGGGACGTAGCTCTTGCGTGTGATTTTAGCCTGATCGACCAGGCAACGTGATGTCGTGGTCCAAGTGGACCGTGTCGAGATCCTGAAGGCATTGTCTAAAGCTGTCCCGCACAGCACGCAAGAGTTCGGGAACAGGATGCAGTGGATTTAGAGAGCAGATGGATCCGCATAGCAATATCTACGTTAAAGCGCCCAGGAATACCTGACTTGAGGGGCACTGAGGCCGACGAAAGCTAGCCAGACGTAAGCACAGAAACACAACGCGAAAAGGTAAGGGGAAGGGGAGCAAAAAGCACAAACCCTGGAAAGGGCCTGCAAAGCATCTCCGATTCTGATTTCCACTCTTCTTTCCAATTGCCATGCCCTCCAGAATCCAGACTGCTCGTTCCATTCTGCACGGTCCACACTCCCGTATCCCACATTGTCCACTCGACGTCCCTTTCCAGTCCATTCTGCACTCCACTCTCCACTCCACTTGGTCCACGACGCTCCAGTCTCCACTTTCAACTCCACTTTCCAGTCCACTCTCCACTCCACTTTTCAAGCACTCTCCAACCGCTTTCCATTCGACTTTCCCCTTCACTCTCGATTCCACTTCCACTCCACTTTCCGCCCTAGTTTCCATTCCACCTTCCATGCCACTCCCGCTCCACACTTTCCATGCCACACTCTGCCCCACTCCACTCTGGACTTCATTTTCCACTCTCCGCACTCCATTCGTTTTCCACTCTCCACTGCACTTTCCACACCACCATTCTCCACTTTGCTTTCCACGCTACTCTCCACTCGCGCTTTCCACTTCAACTCCTATTCCACTCTCCACCCCACTCTCCACTGCCTTCTCCACCCCCCTCTCCACCCTATACTCCACTCTCCACTCCATCCTCTACCCGACTCTACCCCACTGTCCACTTGACTTTCACCACACCGCTGCGTTCCTCGCCACTCCTTCCAAACAGCCTCGTCCCTGCGAAAGCTATGAGGACTCTATGAGGATGGCGATCCCGACGGTCCCATCCCGACGACGACCTGAACGGCCGCATCACTGTGGCTGTTGGATGCTGTTGGCACATTGGACACGCCACGAAAACACGACCATGCAAAGTGACGACACTGACGAGAATGGCGAGCTCGAGCAGCCCCTGCCCCGTGACCATTGACATTTTTGACGCGCCACAAACACATGACGATCCACATGCGACGATGCTTATGAGGATGGCGAACCTGAGCGGCCCCATCCCTGTGACCGTTCGCATTTCTCTTCACACGTAACAAAGACGCGAACCTCCAAAAGCGACAACAGTTGTGAGGAAGCCTAGATCCAGAATCAGGCGTGATGTGTCTGGCACGATGACCATGCAAAGGTACACACCAATAAACCAAGAGTAGGGAGGTTTAATGCAGTCACTAAGCCTGGTGTCATTCGTAGCATGAACATGCTGTTGTAGGGTACGAGTAGCGAACGCTACAGGAGTAGCGAGGTGTCAGATGCGCGAAGTGGCCTGAACCAAGACCTTGCAAAGGCATAGAACACGACAGAATGAGAAGATTCCTTGCAACGTTGAGCAGGATACTACACGCAGGGTAGTGATCAATACGAAGGCGGAACGCAACAGAGGGGAGCACGGGCGATTTGAGAAAACCACCAGCATCATTTTTTTGCATCACAACCTTGCCGGGGCATGGCACGCTACAGAAGCAGCCTACAACAGCAGTAAATGCTACAGGGAAGGTAGGAGAGGTTAGATTCGATGTGAACACCAGAAACGACGTCATGAGTAGCATAAGCATGCCAGGGCATGAACACTGCAGACAGAATAGGGGAATTTCATGCAACAACCAAGCAAGATGTCGGTATCATGACTGTGCAATGGTAGGGAACACGACAGAAAGGATGGGGAGGTTCGATGCAGCAACAAAGCACGACCATGCAACAGTACAAAAAATTATGGAACGCCTCGAAAAGGTTCAATTGGAGCCACCAAGATCCACCAAGCATGATGTTGCTCGTACCTTGACCAAGAGGCATTAGTTTGGTCAACCGACGGAGTGGAGAGGCTTGATGCACCAAGAAGATGCGATGTGCTTCATGCTTCAGGAACACTACGGACTGCGGAAAGGCATGCAAGGGCAGCGAATGTTACAGCGGGAAGGAGGGAAATCCATGGCCACACAAGAGTAGTGAATACTGCGGTGAATAGGGAGATTTGATGCAACCAACCATGTCTCATGCAATCACCAACATGAGGACTTTGAAAAGGAGAACAGGAAAAGCAGGGAGGCCCCGTGCAACCACTGGGTCAGGTAGAATGTTCTTGGTACCCAGAACACGCAAAGGTAGTGAACACTACAGGGACAGGAGGCGGGCTTGATATAAGCAGAACACATGATTTGCATCACGAAGACACAAGGTACTGAATGCTACAGAAAAAGAGACTCGGGGCCTGATGCAACAATCAAGCCACGAAGCATGATGATTTTGGCACAATGACCATCAAGTCACGCACCACTGCCGTTGTAGGGATGATGTAACCACAAGGAATGCCTCAAAGAATAATGAGCTTGCTTGCAACAACCAAGCATGATGTTACTGGTAGCATGACCGCACAAGGGTAGTGAGCAATACTAACAGAGATGGGAGGTTCGATGCAGCCACCAAACAAACAGAATGTTACCCGCACCATGACCATAAAAGGGTACGAAG